GGGCAGACCCGCCGCCGGGCGCCAGGGGGCCGCCGCGCCGCGCTCAGGAGGGGAGCTCCTGGCCGCCGAGAGGCGGTGCAGCCATGCCCAGGCTCAATGCCCCTGCGAAATGACGAGATTTTGACGGGCGGCCCCGAGTTGGACTGACCAGGCTGACGACCCAGTCAACAGAAGAGAAGCGGAATGCCCAGCGCCGACAGCAAATGGTTCCACCGAGTTCGGGAACCGCTGGCCCCGAAGGGGGCGAGCGGATCGGTGGGGGCGAGATGTAAAACAAAGCGCGTTCAGACAAGTCCACCGACCGACGATCCGAACACCTCGCGTGCTGAGCGGGGTCGGAGCGTCGGGTCTTCGGCGCCGCGATGGCCAGAAAGGCGTCGCCTTTCGGCTCAAGACGGTCCGACAGCAAGGCAAGGTCGCACCTTCTTGCCTTCGTGAGTTCTCCTGGGCGCAGGAAGGCAGTGGAACCGAGCGACGACGAGGCGGCCAAATCTGGCCAGTCTCAGATGAGGCAGATGCCAACCATTGCGCGCAAGAGTGCACGAGGCAACGGTGGGCGAAGCTTGGGAGGCTGTGCGATCTTCCACTGTTTGGCGGCGTCCCGGGCTTCTGTACTGTAAGAAACGCCTTCCAGTGGGGATGCGCTGATTGGGCGCGCAGCAGGGCATGCGCAAGGATGTGGTGGGGGGAACCGGCGTCGTGCAGTCATGCTCCGAAGGTGGCTAGCGCTCGCGCCAAGAGCACGCCACTTCGGTAGAGCATGGTCGGAGCCACTCTGGTGTGCTCGACGACCCGCAGTTCAAACGCATCGACCGATCGCGATCTGCGATCGAGGTACTCGGGAGTCAAACGGGAATCCCGAACGAAAAGGGTGCGAGAGGCGCGAGGTCGCGCGGTGCTAAGCCCGCGGCCAGTGGGCGTGGCGGCGGCCGCCGAGGCCACGTGTGCGCGCAGCCCGCGCACGCGCCGGAGCAGCGCGGCTGGCGCGGGGCCTCTGCTTGTCCGCAGAGCCACGTTGCCCGTCGAGAGGGCCGCGCGCCGCTCGCGCGACGCGAAGAACGGCGGCGGCCCCCCCTCGTCGACTCCTGACTGAGACGCGAAATCAGCGTGCGCCTCCGCGAAGGAGTCGCCAGTCGCATCGACGATGCCCCATCGCGATCGTCTCGACCTCCGAGGGCACGCAGAGTGCCCTGCTCTCGATGTCTGCCCAAGGGAAAGGGGGCAGGCGGGCCAGCGGGGTGCGCCGCGCGATTGCGGCCGCGCAGCTTCGCTCCCAGTTCGGCCGCGTCCTGCCGCCGCGATGTGCCCGACAGAGAGGTCGGGTGGGGCGCGCTGCAGACGGCTCGGTAGCCGTCGAGCAGATCCGCAGGCGCCTCCTTGTTCCGCCACAGGTGTGGCGGGAGTAGCTTGGCCTTCTCGGAGAGATGCGCCGACGAGTCGCACGCGCGGGCAAGGTTGGCCGCGCGACGCCGCTGGGCGGCGTTGTTGCCCAAGCCGATGTCCCTGATCCCTCCGCGAGCTCGCCTTCGCCGTCGCCTGCCGCCCCCGGACCCAACATGGACCCGCTCCTCGACGCCCTCCGACGCCGTGTGATGCGGCGTCGTCCGCTCGGCTCCCAGCAAGTCCTCCTCGCCGTCGGCAGGGGGGGCCCCGTGGAGTGCTGCGAACTGCTCGCGGAGCAGCCTCACCACGGACGGGTGCGGCCAATCGTCCCGACTCCGTACCGTGGCGAACGGGATAACGTCCGCTGGCAGTGTCGGCCCTGGCAACGGCGTCAAGGACTCGAGCTCCAGCTCGTTGACGTCCCAGTCGATCACCAGGACGGAGGCCGTTGTGGCAAACGCGCTGGAGGCTGCCCCAAGGAGCGGCACCTCCAGCACCAAACACGGATGCAGCAACCCAGAGAAGCCGTCCCCCTCCGCGGCCGCCATCTCGGCAGCCGAACGGAAGGACGACGGGAGAGCGAGCAACGCGCCACCATCCCGCTGAGCAAGCGGTATTGCGGCGAAGCTGCGGTCCCCCTCGTCGAGGCGCCACCTGTCGTATATCGTCGCCGATGGTACCTCGAATGGATGGAGCTCGGGCCACACGGGGCCGTCTGGCAGCGCTGGGTTGCGGCCGTCGTCACCAGCGCTGAGGGGCTCTCGCGCCCACTATGACACGCACCGAATCCGCGGCGGAACTGACAGCGAGCACGTCGCGGGCGATTCCGCGCGGGCGGCCCGAAGTCCGACCCGAGGGGACTACCCCCGAAGCGGCGACGCTGGCCGGAAGGCCGACGCCGCCGTGCCGCGCGAGGCGGCTTGAGGGTCAGGGCCGTGGGCCAAGGCCCGAGCAGGTGCCCTCGCGGGTGCTGGGGCTGGCGCGCCCAGCCACCGCGAACGCGAGCCAGGAAAGGGCTCGCGCAGCGGACCGCCAGGCCCGCAAGACAGTAGCCCCCGCAGAAACTGCAACAGGCCGTCACTCCCAGAAGCGAGGGGACCGTCGCGAGCAGCAGAGGAGAGACCCCGCAGCTCAAGTCCACCGCCAGCCCGAGGCAGACGGTGGGGCAGGCGACGGAAGCCTCGAGAGCAAGGTACTCCGCCGCTGCTCCGAGGCCCGCCGCCTGAGACGGCCAGGAGGTCCCGAACTCTGGGGCCTCCCGGTGCGTCAAGGGCAGTGGGCGGCCAGCGAGCCGCTCGAAGAGCGCGGCTCGCAGACTCTGGTGGAGCACAGCACGGCGCGCCGCATCAACCTGCCGCGGGCCGAAGGGGGGGGGCGGACACTGGGCCGAAATCACGGCAGAGACCGCGTGGGGGGAGTAGCAGAGAAGAAGAGGGAGCAGGAGGAGGAGGGAGGAGGAGGAGGATCATTTGCGGGATCCATCCCCCGCACTCGCCCGTGCGCGCCCCCGCGGCGCGCCCGGCGGGCTGGCCCTGCACCTCTGGCCGCACCATGATAGCAAGGCGATGGCCGAGGGCGGGCGCGCGGGGGGGGTCTGCCCACCCTCAGGGCGGCCCAGAGGCTCGCAGAGGGCTGCCGAGACCTGCGAGCTCGGGCCCAGTGCAGCCCGCAGAGAGGCGCTCAGGCGCCGCGTCGAGGCGTGCGTGGCCGGGCTCCGCAAGATGAAGGAGCCCAGCTGGTGGACAGCTGGCCAGTACGACAAGCACGACAGCCAATACCACAGCCAGTACTACTGCCAGTACGACAGCCACTACGAGAACCAGTGCGACAAGTACGACGGCCAGAACGACAGCTAGTACGACAAGTACGACAGCCAGTGCGACAAATATGACAACCAGTGCGAGAGCCCCCCCGAGCTGGAGTACATCGTCATAGAGGTACCGACGCCCTCCCAATGTTCTACGGCGGCTACCAGGCCGAGGATGGCAAGAATGAGGACAATATCGACATGGAGGGCAAGCAGTACGACCAGGACCACAACCACACCCTGAGCGGATGCTACTACGATCTGCGCGGGCCCATCCCAATGTTCAATGGCGGCGACGAGGCAGAGGAGGGCAGGAAGGAGGACAAGAAGGAGCTGCGCGGCGCGCGGGCGGACAACGTGCAAGGCACCCAGGTTACGGCCGCCTCACAAGGCCAACGGGCTCTGCCCCCTTGGGCGCTCCATCCCTGGAGTTGACCTGGGCTGTAGTCTAGAAGATTGCGTCGAGATGGGAATCCCCCCAAATATTCCCTCGGTGGTTTCCCCCCCCCCCCCCCCCTACCTAGCCCTTGGGGCTATGTCGCCGAGGACCCTTGTATCGTCGCCAAGGCTGGATCCGCTTGGAATTCCTGGCCGTGACTCCCAGCCTGGTGAGACAGAGATGGCGCTGGAGGAAGAACGGAGAGAGAGAGCGTGCTGAGCCCAACGATCATCGTGCCCAGCCTGACGATCCAGGCACTCAAGAAAAGGATGAGGAGGTGACGGATGAGGACGAGGCGGACAAAAGGAGTAGATCAGGAAGGTGGACGTGACCAGGAGGATGGTTAAGGAGGCTGGCAGGAGGGGACAGGACCTCCTCAACACCGAGTCCTTCCACGAGGCTGCTGCCTGGTACTCGACGGCCATACGGCTTACATCCAGCAGCCCAGACGCAATTACCACAGCGCTGCAAGCGGTTCTGTATAGACACCGTGCATCGGCCCACCTTCTGCTAAGTGGGCCGAGGCGGAATCTGACTGCACGGGAGCCCTCCGCCTTAACAACCAATGCATTTGTGCGCAATTCTGGCGCGCCGAGGTCCGCTGCGAAACGGAAAGACTGCCAGAGGCCCTCCATGACATCGAGCAAGTCCTCAGGGCAGACAAGGATGAGGAGTGGAAGAGCACGGCGGAGGATATGAGAAGGAAGATCGAGGCTAGGATCCGAAGCAACCGATCCATAGCAGAGATGCGTGGTGCGCCATGCGCCATCAAGGCGCCGTCAACTACCGCATCCATCGACGACTGCTATCAGGAGGCTTTCGAGGATCCCGCGCAAGTGGCACCGCCAGAACCCAACGACCCACGAGCGCAGCCCGGACGAGATCAACGACGCGTGTGGCTAGTACACCGAACACTCACATGTCTGCTATCCGACCGCTACTCGTTCAGTGGAGGCTAGTCCACAGGAGACCTTCCACAAGAAACCCGACCCTGAGACCCCAGAACGTCCATCGATTTTTGGCGCGGGAACGTCTCGCTCTCAATTGCAAAATCCTCGAAACCCAAGAAACCCAGGACACCCTGGAGGCGAGCAGGGTGTTTTGTGGCATGGCCCCCCATTCTATGTCTTCGGAAGACTTGGGTTACGAGGACGTGGTGGACGTGTCGCAGGTCGTGGAGGACCGTCAGGAACGGTACGACGCGCCACAAGACGTGGAGTATGGTGAGGAACGCTGCGACGAGGAGGTGCGTTGCGACGTGCCGCGCGGCATGCCACAGGACGAGGTGGACAGGCAGCAGGACGCGGAAGACGAGGAGGGTCACGACGTGCCGCAGGACCAGGCTGCGAGGTGCAGAGAGCTCATGGCCAGCCCCCGTGGGAGTTGGCAGCGGGATCACCAGTTCTGCATTAACACGATCGAGGCCGTCTACCATAATGGCCAAATCACGCGCGACTCGTACGAGCAACGCGTCGCCGCTGCGACACCGAAGATCCGAGACACGGAGCAGGCGATCAACGATTACTCAAAGCAGAACAATATTGGCCAGCAGCAGCGTGCCACACCTCGCGATCCTTGCGCTGCAACCCACGATTGCGTATCGAGCGGGGCCGGAGGACCTCGGCTCTCTGTTCGCGATGGTTGCGACCTCCTCCGACCTCCCGTGCCGCCGCCGGGGCACAAGACGCACAATCACCAGACACGCTGTAGACGTTCAGACTCGTAGTGCGCTTAGCTTGCCGATCCTGGAATTTATTTTTACGACCGATTCGACGATTACGGGCCCGACTGATTCGACGGCTGGCGCCGTGGGCCGCCGCATGTGCATAATTGCACAGCGGCGAGGCCTCCCCCACTCGCCCCCCCCTCCCCTTGAATGTGATCAGTGCATGGTTTACCTATCCCTCCACTTCCCCCCCTCTGGAAGATACCGTCACCGGCGTTCGAAGGTACCGATGCCGCAGCTTGTCGGGCGCATCGTGGCGCGCGTCAGCTGCTGCGAAGGTGGATCAGGGATCGCCTCGTGGCGTGGCTGGAGAGAGAGAGAGAGAGAGATAGAGAGGAGGAGGAGGAGGAGGAGGAGGAGGAGGAGGAGGAGGAAGGAGGAGGAGGAGGAGGAGGAGGAGGAGGAGGAGGAGGAGGAGGAGGAGGAGGAGGAGGAGGAGGAGGAGGAGGAGGAGGAGGAGGAGGAGAGGAGGAGGAGGAGAGGAGGAGGAGGAGGAGGAAGAGGAGGAGGAGGAGGAGGAGGAGGAGGAGGAGGAGGAGGATAATGAGGATGATGATGAGGAAGAGGAGGATGATGATGAGGAAGAGGCGGAGGAGGAGGAGGACCAGTGTAAACCCAAACCCACCAACGATATTGGAACACCACCCCTCCAAACTCCACCTTCATAGGCCCCTACACGGGTTCATTTCCACTGAAAGAAATGCCCCGTTGGGGGACAACCGTGTGAAAATCCTGAAGCGTGCCAACACACCATTCAGGACTTCAATGCAACGAATCAGACAGACTGTTGGTCTTGGCGATCCTGAGTGGTGCCAGAACGCCCTTCCTGGGACGTCCCCACCGCGAATCAACATAACTGTTGCGCCCTGACAATCCTGAATCGTTCCCCAACACCATGTCTGGTTCGTGCACATTGTTGAAACGAATGTGCGCGGCGCTAAGGCGAGAATCACATGTTGAAACGGAACCGCCCTCAATCCGAGAAGCTCTTCCTGAAAACGGGTGTGCGCGGCGCTTAGGCGAGAACCATATGTTGAAAACGACACGCCCTCAATCCGTGAAGCTCTTGCAATTCTTCAAAACGAGTGTGCCCAACGCTAAGGCGAGAACAACATGTTGAAAACCATCCGCCCTCAATACGTGAAACTCCTGCACTTCTTTAGGAACGAGTTTGCGCGGCGCTACAGCGAGAACCACATTCTGAATACCACCCGCCCTCAATCCGTGACACTCTTGCGAAGTTTTTTGAAAAAAGAGTGTGCGCGGCGCTACGGTGAAGACCACATTTTGGAAGCGACCTGCCTTCCATCTGTGAAGCAGTTGCCAGTTGTCAAGATTAATCATGACTGGTAGGGAGATTTCATGCGAAACGCCTGGCCCGCCCTTCGGACTGGCCTCGGGGTGCGACAGGGAAGAGCTATTCAGAAGGAAAAGCAATGGAGGGGGAGGAGGAGGAGGAGGAGGAGGAGGAGGAGGAGGAGGAGGAGGAGGAGGAGGAGGAGGAGGAGGAGGAGGAGGAGGAGAAGGAGGAGGAGGAGAGGAGGAGGAGGAGGAGGAGGAGGAGGAAGGAGGAGGAGGGAAGGAGGAAGAGGAGGAGAACGAGGTGGACGAGGAGGAAGAGGAGGAGGAGAGGAGGAGGAGGAGGAAATGGAGGAGGAGGAGGAGGAGGAGCAGGAGGAGGAGGAGGAGGAGGGGAAAGAGGAGGAGCAGGAAGAGGGGAAGAGGAGGAAGAGGAGGAGGAGGAGGAGGAGGAGGAGAGGAGGAGGAGGAGGAGGAGGAGGAGGAGGAGGAGGAGGAGGAGAAGGAGGAGGAGGAGGAGGAGGAGGAGGAGGAGGAGGAGAGGGACGAGGAACATGATAAGGAGGGTGAGGAGGTGAGGGCGTGAAGGAGGCGAGGGGTGGGACTGGAAGGACAAACACGAGGAAGACGAGGAGGACAAGGAGGAAAAGGAAAAGGACGATGAGGAGAACAAAGAGGAGAGATGATGATAACGAACATTTCGACAATATTTAACATGACATTGTACGCAATGTGCTGTCCCACCTTGCGCTAAGCCTTCTCCGTCTTCATCGCCGCCGCCGCCACAATTGCCGTCGTCGTCGGCGTCGGCGTCGCTGTCGGCGTCGGCGTCGGCGTCGCCGTCGCCGCCGCCGTCGCCGCCGCCGCCGCCGTCGCCGCTGCTGTCGCCGTGGCCGCCGCCGCCGTCGCCGTGGCCGCCGTCGCCGCCGTCGCCGCCGTCGCCGTCGTCGTCATCGTCGTTCGGAGGCCGTGGCTGCCCCGGCGCTCCTGCTGGGCAGCGGCGGCGGGCTGCTCCGCCGGCTCCTGGGCGGACTGCGCCGCCGCGGCGGGAGCCGGGTTGCGCTTGCAGAGCGGGCAGGTCCTGTGGGGGCGCCAACTGTGCGCCGGTTGTGCGCCTGCGCCGAGCCTGCGCCAGGCTGGTCCCGGACCCAAGGTCGGTGCACGCGGCCTCCTGGGCTTCGTCCGGCATTCCCCCCCGGCCCGCCCAAGCCCCTGGCGCGCCGTCAAAAGGGGGGGGGCATGATGGATTGCGCATCGGCGGTTGCCACAGCGCCTTCCGTGCACTGTGCTTCGAAGGCTTTCTGTGACATCCTCGGGAGGAAGAGGCGGAGGAGAAGGACGAGGAGGTGGGGGAGGGGGAGGAAGAAATGAGGCATGAGAAGAAGGGGGAGGGGGACGAGGGGAGGAGGAGAAGGGGAGCAGAAAGAGAGTAAAGGGAAGGAGGAGGAGGACGAGGAGGAGGAGGAGGAGGACGAGGAGGAGGAGGAAGAGGAGGAGGAGGCGTTTCGGCGTTCCAGGGCTTTCTAAGAGGGGACCCCCTCACCCGAAGACAGATGAAACGAGAGCCGCGCAACAGAGCAGGTAGGGATGCGAGAGAGCGGAACGACTACATCAGGCGATCCAGCAGCATGAGGAGGAGGAGGAGGAGGAGGAGGAGGAGGAGGAGGAGGAGGAGAGGAGGAGGAGGAGGAGGAGTGAGGAGGGAGGAGGAGGAGGAGGAGGGGGAAGAGGAGGAGGAGGAGGAGAAAGGAGGCGAAGGAGGAAGAGGAGGAGAAAGGAGGCGAAGGAGGAAGATGAGGGAGGGAGGAGGGGAAGGGTGAGAGAGGAGGGGGCGAGGGAGCGAGAGAGGGTGCCGCCGCGCATGGGGCGGGGCCACGGACGGGTCCTGGGGAGGAACCGCCTGGCCTGGAACCAGGCGTCCACGCAGCCCTCGCGGGGCGAGAGGCGCGCGCGCGCCCGCCGCGCCCCTTGCCTCCCCCGTCGGGGGAGAAGGGGCGAAGTTCAATGAGAGGGAGGAGAGCGAAGGTCAAAGAGAGGATAGGGGAAATCTTGGAGGATGAGGCGTGGATCATGGGCCTCTGGCGCGAAAGTCAATCATCATTGGATCGCCTGCAATTCGTGCCAGATTTCACGCTGGCGTGCGACTCATGTCGGCAAAGCAACGCGTCGAAGCTCATTGTCGATCTCCGCAATCTGAATCTCAATACTGCTCAAGTCCATGCATACACACCTGAAGCGGCGGCGCCAATGCAACACACAACGCAATGTAGCGAACGCCCCAATCTGGGTACCTACGGGAGGACTCGCAAGATGTTCTTCTCCCTTCCCTGCCGCCTGAGACTTCCCCACTCCCTCCCTCTCTTCCTCTTGGGAGTGATGGGCGAGAAGCTCCTCTTTCACTCCCTCCCTCCCTCCTCCCGCCTCCGCCCCTCTGTTTACTGTTGCACGGGTGCAAGCAGCACTGCACCCAAACTAACGCGTCGACCACGCGACGAAATCACCGTGCCCGAACGCGTTCAAGCCGCCGTTGCGTGACTGCGCACTGTGCCGGCGTGCGCTGCAGCATCATAATGCTGCAAAGGGGTAGCCTGTATGCAAGGCTGGTCAAACTGGTCGCCGCGAGCCACATCGACCGAGCAGTGCGGGCTTGATAGGGCCTGCGTGCGCAGTAATTGAACACATCGAGTGGTCGACTCTATCGCTCCTTTTGGCCTTTGGCCGTTGATCTTATCGACTAACGTATAACGAAAGTTCGGCGGTCCTCTGCCACGCCCATAGACTACAATGTCTTCCGCACACATCAATGCCAATCAGGAAACGACCGAATCGGAAAAAAAACTGGCGCACACGCGCGAGGAGATATATAACCGCCCTGCTCAGCGGTGAACTTCAGATGAGTAGTTCGGGACTGATATTATAGCTCACGAAGCAGAATCGGAAACCTCATCCTCCTACCGCGGACATTCCAAAGGACGCATCAGATCGTGGTGACGATCGGTGCACCAT